AGTTTAAAATGTTGAGATACTGACAAATTAAAGTTTAATTTTCTAGTTTTAGTATATCTCTGTTGCCGATCGTCTTTTCGCTAAAAATATAAAATCCCCTACTCACTAATATTTTAGACGTTTGAGTCATGTAAAACAATTTATTAATTTTAAGTGGCCTTAGTCCGTGATGTTGATCCACTCGTGAATCAACGTCAAAATGCTGGGAAAGTAGCGTATGGCTTCAGCTTAAAGCAGAGTCCCAATTTAACGCGGCTATGCCGCCTTCTCTTAATAAAGGGAATGCTACTCCTATAGAAAACGAGCACTCAGATTAAATCAGTTATGTTTGCTATGCACAGCACAAGGGGCAGGTTTCTACATCAAATCATCAGTATTAAGTATGGAAAACAAAAAACAGTTGATTTCTACACACACATTATTTTCAGGGTTACAGACCCGAAGTTCAGAGGAGCTATTAAACGGGACAGCGTGTATTTTAACAAAAATATGACATTCATCTACATCAGCAGAGGTGGACATTTCAGGTCCAGAAAGTAAAAATCCAGACCAGGAGTTTCTTTTAACCAACCAGTTGAGCATAAAGAGTCATGATCGCATAGTACTCAACTGGATGGTTGAAACAAATTCCTGGTCTGGATTTTTACTTTCTGGACCTGAAATGTCCACCTCTGTACATCAGCAGTCTTCACGCTGGACCATGGAGAAGAAGAAGGTGCAGAAAACGGACCAGGCTTCGTCACAGTACTCCTTTGCCAGTTTCTTCTGATCGATCTTCTCGATCCGTGCATGAAATGCCCCCTGAAAAAGACGGTTCCGGTCCGGATCCCGGTGCTTCTGTTTATGAGCGGTCCAGCCTGAAATGGCCGCTCCTGGGGGCTCTCATGCACATTCCAGCTTTAATGAGCGCTTCTGGGTCCCGACACAGACTTTTCTGCTTCTTCAGAGATCGGCCGATTTGTTTCCAGTAAGTTCTCGCTTGGGACCTGATCGGGGGCACAGCGCGGGTCTGGCCGTGAACAGGTGTTCCGGGCAATTCAGTTTCCCTATGTTTCCCCTGTCGCGCGCTGATTTGTACACGGTTTCGCTGTTGTTTTTATGTATATTTAAGAAGCCCTTGAGGTAAACAAGCCATATATTTTAAAACATCACATGCCTTTTCGATGTTTTTTATACATATAAGAAATTAAAGTATTTAATTCGCTGGATAGAGATAGGCCTATTTCTTGATGAAAACGGTATAGTATTGCTTATATAAGACTATATTATGCGTGACCATCTACTGTATTCACATGTAATAATGTACCTGAGTGATTTTCAGACATGTCACATAGGCTACATATTTGCCTAAATATTAGGAGAAACATTATTCCCTGATAGACAGGGGAAACATAGGGGAACCGAATTGCCCGGAACACCGGCAGGAGATGCTTTCCGGGCCGGAAGCGCACTTAACGCTGAGGGTGGCGGTGTCGCAACCTACTGCCACCCAGCTGCACTGCGCCCTGTCTTTGCCGGAAAATTTCTCTTTAAACACGACCTGCTGCTTCTCGCTCCACTTGTCGGGAACTGAAGTCAGGGGCTTCGCCGGCAGAGGGGCCCCTCCTCCTCTCTCTCTGTCTTTCTCCTCTTCCTTTCTCTGCCCTCCGGCGTCCCGCTGACATTCCCCCACCTGGAGAGCGATGCAGGCGAGCACCAGGGCAGCTGTGGAGTTTTCTAGAAGCTGCATGCCGCCTTATTTTTTTTGTTATCTTAAACCTGCGAATAAACAGCAGCGAATCTCTCGCCCACGTTGGAGATATACTCCGTTAGTGATAGAATACAATCAAAACAAACAGTGGACAGTTTGCATGATCTATTGTTTGTTAATTGAATAAATTACTAATATATTTATAGTGTTATAAGTAATCAAACAAATGTAAAATCTACTAGTACTTCTGCTGCTACTACTACTACTACTACTACTAGCAATAGAATAGAACAGAATAGAATAGAAATCGTCATCCTGAAATCGGTCGTAAGAAACACCGTTGAGTGAGTTATAATGTTTTGCCGGCCGAAAAGCTCTTTATTCTGCGCATGTGCAGAAATGGCATGTTGTATTTTTACCTACCTCACTCCTCACTCCTTCATGCCCGTCACCAGATCGCGTCTGCGGCCTTTCAGTCATCCCAAATGGTTAAATACCCTGGTTCAGAGGCTTAGTGGGGGGGGATTATCCCCCTCAACAATAACATATATGACATAGGGCTTGGTTTACAAAAAAGACAAAAAAAAAAACCCACGTACATATGACTTAATAGATCTCATCACATAGATCACATAATTAAAAGTTTTCTTTTTTCCCTGACAGTATTCACGTGTGCACTCAGAGACAAGAGTACCAGTTTGTGCCTTTGCTTGTCACTGGGCTCTCAAGGGTCTACCCTAACTGTAGGGAATTACTTCTGATGAACATTTTTGTACCATTGAGGGAATGCTTTTCTTCACTGAGTCCAGTCACCAGTCCACCTGGCCCAGGGCTCGAACCAGGGACATCCAGTTCCCCAGCATAGAGATTTAGCTCACTGAGCTGCTCACTGAGCCACTCACCAACCACGTAGGCAAAGGGAGGATCATAGAGCTGAACTAGTCAGTAGTCAGTTTGGACAAGATGAGTCTGAGCCACATTTTAACAACGAAACATGTTTTATTTGCACAAACATATCGGAATGCTCCTCTTTGTTGACCCCATCTTACTCTCCATAGCTTGTGGGGTCACAGTACAGGGCCAGCTGATCTGCAGTGTTTCTTGCTGAGGCCGGCATTTAAACCAACAACCTTCTGATCACAGACACAGACACTTAGCCCACAGAGCCACTCATTGCCTCTATTTGGCGCAGCTCTGAATTTAGCTTTTGACTCAGGTGCAGATACGGGCCAGTTTTCATCATATTCAATGTAGATCTAGGCCCATATATGGTCCTTATCTGCTTCAAATCCAGAAAGTGGGTTTGGACCAGTATTGTTATGGCAATTTATTGCTATGTGGGGTGTCACCTCCTCCCTGTCTCCTCAGCCAGGTCTCCAGGAGGCGCAGCCTCACAGGTGAGATCCACGCCCGGACATTTCTCGGATGGACGGATCGGGCCGTGCTCAGAAATGCAGTGCAGGAAACCGTGCTCAGAAATGCAGTGCACACGCAGACGTGCGTGATTTTACAGATGGGGTAGGGAGCCCGGAATAACCTCCCCGCGTTAATGAGACACACATCCCTGCCATCTTAACGCATAGTAGCACTGTTAAATGTATTTGATCCTTTGATGTTTGTAATGAAATCCCATTCATTTAAAAGTACATTTCCTGAGTAAGCAGTGAGAAATGTAGAGCAGCGTTATAATTTAAAGATGTTTTACAATTTATTTGCAATGGTTTATGAATTATTGTTGTGTAAAGGCTGAATGTAATACGTGTAACTTCTTAATAAAGTGCATGAAATAAGTATCAGTAATGAATCGATACACTGGAAGAACCACATTAGTTTTTAATTGAGTTTTACTTATGAAAATGAATCAATCATATCAGATAAGTAAAAATGTATTCTGGGCAGTGGATACTGCATTTCTGATACTGAACTTTCAAACCCTGCCAAGGAAAATCGATTTAGCATGAGTGGGAAAGGAGGCTCAACTCCTGCTACAACAGCGCCACCTGCCTGCCACTAAATGAATCACATAGAAATATTTCTAAAATGCACATTTTCCCCTCATATTTTAAAAGTGTGTTTCCAAGTTTAATAAAAAAAAATTGTATATGCGAACAGCACCTTTCTGAATTATTATTAACACAGTACAGAGAATTGATCATTTACATTTAGACTATTTGTTCAAAAACACGCTAATACATTAATACTTAATACAATAAAAAAAATCAATGAAACACTTTGAGACGTAGTGTTTTCTGTACACCTTATTCAGTTTCACGTCTGACACGCATACAAATGTATTTACATCCTTCATATAGCCATTATTGTCTGAGGTGTTTAGCGCCCTCAGTGCTTGCATATATAAAACGGGAGTGAATCCGCACGTTAAACACGTCCTTTACTCCTGTAGCACTCTCTGCTAGCATTTCCGGTCAGATGGCGAAGCAAAACTGCGGAAATTGTGATGTGAATTATGAGCGGACAAAGTGGTGACGTCAGATGACGTCCATGTCAAACTTTTAAGAAGAAAAAAATGCCCGGGGAGCAGCGTACTCAGACTGAGTCAGACGCGTGGAAGATTTCAAGTATTGTTTTGCTGGGGACCTAAAGCTAGAAAAGTGAAAAATAATATTCATTAATGATAGATGGACAAACACAGCAAACACTAACATGCTTCCATGAACAGAACACATAATAAAGGAAAAACTGTATTTTACCTTTTACATAATAAAGAAAAATTACACTGTAGAATCATGTATGCAAAAATTTCCTTTTGGAATTATTCCTTGTAATGCTCTAACATTCAAGTAAATGATCAATACAACAATGATGCTGAGAGGCGATTTTACACAATGCTGGTCTGTGAATCCCGCTTACCGTGGCGTTTAGCTGTGAAACCAGCCAATGACGGTGGCGCAGATGCCCTGGAGGGACTCCCAGCAGTAATCTTCAGCTATGGCCTTTGCACTTTCTTTAGTAGTCACCTCCGTGGGTCTGGCTGGTGTTGTTGTTTTGGAGGGTCTTGGAAGCAGTTTTTTGGTGTTGGTTCTTACTGCTGTCTTAGCTTGCTCGGGCTGGACCGGAGAAGGCAGAACCGGGGCTGGCTTGGCTGGGATGGTCTTGGCGGGCTCTGCCTTAGGTTGGATCGGCTTGGGTAGCTCTGGTTTGACTGGGGCAGGTTTAACTTGAACTGGCTTGACCGTATCTGGTCTGAGCGTTGTGGTTTTGGCTGGTTCGGGTTTTGCTTGGGCCGGGGGCCTCTCCTGAGGGGTTTTCGCTGGCTTCTGGGCGACGGGCTTGGAGCCTGCCGTCGTGAAGATCATCTGGGCTTCGTCCGTGGCCCTCTTGCACATCTGCGGCTTGAGCTGTTGCCGGCCCTCGCACGCGTTACTGAGCTTGCGGAGCTCCCACATGATCTGGGTGAAGTAGTGCCTGGGATTGGCGTTGTAGGCGCGACACGCCGTGGGTTTGCCGAGGTACTCACACCAGTATGTCTTGTTGGCGCTCCTGCAGGTGATCCTCAGCTTGGTGGCCTCCCCCTGCACGCTCACCGCCATGGAGCACGCCTCCTTTGCCTTGGTGCTGAACTGGATGGGCTCCCCCCAGCCGCCTTTGCCGCTCTCGCCCTGGGCCTCCGCCGCCCCCAGGAAGAAGGCGGCCAGCAGCAGCACAGGGATCCTGCCCTTCATGTCGAAACGGACGCTGGTGTAGCGAGAGGTTCCTGTTGAACTGTGAGAGATGTGGGCTTGATACCCCCCCATTTATGGGTTCACAGCACAAAGGGGGCTTTCAGGTAAATCGCCATGCCTTTTCCTGATTGGGGGTTGCGGGGTGGGAGGGGGAGGGGGGGCAGTCCTTCTGCAACGTGACCATAATTCATGACTAACCACGGACTGTCAAGCACCCTGTAGGAACATAAGGAACCTATTGGGGCTGGGCTGGTGGAGTACCATGGAGTACCATGGAGTACCATATGGGCCAAGTAATTAGTACCGAGCAAATTAGGACTTTCAAAGGCACCGTCGTCGCTAGAATTACAGCTTGAGTCTCTGTTACTGTAAGACTGTTGAAAAACAGACTGCAGCTTATCTCCTGTGGTTGGTATTCCAAGTATTTCCAGCACGCATTTGCTAAAGTGGCAGATACACCATAAGTCTGGCTGCCCGTCTTGCTGTAGTTTGTTACGGGACGGGATGATCTGGCCGTTGGGTCCTTTGGGTTTTAGCAAGGAGAGTGTGGAGGAAACCTTCAACAGCTGCTGGCATTGTGAGGCGGGTGGTGGGTGTCGGGTTAGCGCATATGGGGGGGTGGGGGGTGGTGTACAGTCATTGACAAAAGTCTTGTCACATAAGGTCATAGTAACTTAAAAAGGCATATAACTTTATTTCTAATCAATCAATTGTTACGATAAATGGATCAATTTAATGCCAAGGACTTTCACATTAATGACTGGGTGCAAAATGAAACAGTCAAAAAGTGTCCTGATGTTCCCAGCTTGTTAAAGTCCATAACACCTGTTTTTGCAAGGACAAAAGTCTTGTCATGTCTTTTAATGATTCAACCAATCACAGATTAGAGGTTCACCTGTGACAAATACTGTAATTAACATAATCCCAGGTGTGTATAAAAAGAACCCCAGCAAACCAGACCTTCACTTGAAGTGCAACCTGACTTCTGACAACATGCCAAAGATTCAACCACAGACCAAGTCTGCTGAGGTGTCAGACATCGTTAATGTATCCAAACGTCAAGTGGAGAGGATTAAAAAAAGATATGAAGAAACTGGTGATTTTCATGACAAACCCAGGTCAGGCAGACCCCGTAAGACAACTCTTCGAGAGGACCGTTTGTTGCTTCGAAAGTCCAGGGCCAACCCTTTTTCAACTGCAGCAGAGCGACATCAGAACCTGTCACCAGAATCCGCTGTGTCTACAAGAACAGTTTCTCGAATTCTCGCACGCAGTGGTCTCCATGGCCGAATTAGAACATAAGAAAGAACATAAGAAATTTACAAACGAGAGGAGGCCATTCGGTCCATCAAGCTCGTTTGGGGATAACTTAACTAATAGCTCAGAGTTATTAAAATCTTATCTAGCTCAGATTTAAAGGAGCCCAGGGTTTTAGCTTCCGCTACACTAGCAGGAAGACTATTCCATACTCTAACTACACGCTGTGTAAAGAAGTGCTTCCTCAAATTTGATTTAAAATGTTCTCCCGCTAATTTCCACTTATGGCCACGAGTTCTAGTATTTAAACAAATATTGAAGTAGCCATTCGGCTGAAAAGCATGCAGACCCGTTAGAATCTTATAGACCTGGATCATGTCCCCCCCTTAGTCTCCTTTGCTCAAGGCTAAACAGATTCAGCTCAGCTAACCTCTCCTCATAAGACATTCCTCTAAGACCAGGAGTCATTCCCGTAGCCCTCCATTGCACCTTTTCTAAGGTATGGTGACCAAACCTGCACACAATATTCTAGGTGGGGTCTTACCAAGGAATTATATAAATGTGACATCACCTTCCTTGACTTAAACTCCACACACCTACTAGTAATTAGTGCACAGAAACCAGCATTAATGAGAACACAACAAAAAAAGCGTGTTGAATTTGCCAAGGCCCACAGCCTGCAGCAAGGATGGACAGTGGCAAAGTGGCAGAAGGTTGATTTTTCTGATGAATCATCCATTGAACTGCATACCAAATGCTGCAAATACTGCAGGAGACCTGTTGGAATCCGCATGGACCCAAGATTCACCCAGAAAACAGTCAAGTTTGGTGGAGGAAAAATCATGGTTTGAGGTTACATCCAGTATGGGGGTGTTCGAGAGATCTGCAGAATGGATGGCAGCATCAACAGCCTGAAGTATCAAGACATTCTTGCTGCCCATTACATTCCAAACCATAAGAGGGGGCAAATTCTGCAGCAGGATGGCGCTCCTTGTCATACTTCAGCCTCCACATTGAAGTTCCTGAAACTGACGAGGATCAAGGTGCTCCAGGATTGGCCAGCCCAGTCACCAGACATGAACATTATTGAGCATGTCTGGGGTAGGATGAAAGAGGAGGCTTGGAAGACGAAACCAAAGAATCTAGACGAACTCTGGGTGTCCTGCAAGATTGCTTTCTTTGCCATTCCAGATGACTTCATCAACAAGTTATTTCAGTCATGGCCAAGACGTATGGATGCGGTCCTCCAAGCTCATGGAAGTCATACATGTTATTAATTCTTTCTTCCAAGGCACCATGACTTTAAGTTCTGATGTTATTGTAGCATGTTTGTGTATTCTAAATGAAGTATATGTATAATTTCTACATTATTTTTGTATATGACAAGACTTTTGTCCAGGCAAAAGTTGACCCTTCTGTCCTAATTACATGACAAAACTCAATGAGTGATGAAAAACTTTATTTTGGTATAATAAGCATAATCTAGAGGGCTTTGCCTTTCTTATAAGCCATTTCTGATTCCAACTGATTAACTACAGGTCAAATAATTATTTGTTGTTCCTACAAAGTGACAAGACTTTTGTCAGGCACTGTGTGTCCTCTGAGAGGTGGGCCTGTGCAAACATCTCAGGACCTTGTTTTCTTAGCAATCAGTCGCCCCGTGACACAAAGGCCCCCTTGTCGACGAAAACGGCTTGCCGGCCCGAACTTCCGAAGGAGCTATTTATTTTTTATTTTTTTGGTGCCTTGATGGGTACAATCAAAAGCTTTAGGCTGCTGGCCCTTCGCCAGCTAAGGGACTGGGGCAGGAATTTTTTTTCCAGCACAAAAAGCATTTGAGGAGCACTAAAGGGGCCAGATTCCAAAACCAAACCACGCTGGCACACAAAGCGCTAATATACACTCTCTGACGCGGGGAGACACTGGCTTGTAGACTGGGGAGTGCCGTTTGCTGCCATCTGCCCCCGAACGGATGAAAGTCCCCCTTGTCCCCGTAGGGTTAGGGTGTCAGTCCTGGGGGGCCAGAGTCCTGCACATTTTCGGGTTTCCCCTCATTTAACACACCTGATTCAACTCCTAGTGCTAATTACCACACAGCTCTTGAGCTGAATCACTTGTGGTGGAACAGGGAAAGAAATAAGCTACACAGGGCTCCGGCCCCCCAGGACTGGAGTTTGACACCCCTGCTGTAGGAGGTTTATATTTAATAGGTTATACAAGGGGAGGCAATCTGAAACGTGTGTGTGGGGGGGTGTTTCCAGTTGACCTTTGACCTCTGGTGAGCTGATCGTCCTGGTCTCAGCTTGAGGGATGTAGCTGACCTACAGTGAAATGATGCTCAGAGAAAGTCTTACCTTGAAAGTCAGGGCCGGGTTTGTTGTTCCTGGGGCCCCATTGGGCTCCTCAGGCTTTTAAAAAATTAAATAATTAGCTAGCGAGTGGAGTCATGGTAGCTAGCTGGTTAGCAGAACATGCTGCTTCAGCACCTCCTAAATAAGGAGCGTTTTCATTTAGCGTCTAGTGTAGTGACTCTGACCAACAGGGGCCCCGTGCAAATATGTGGTTTGAGTAGTGGTGAAGTCCAGGGGCCCCGTGCAAATATGTGGTTTGAGTGCTGGTGAACTCCAGGGGTCCCGTGCAAATGTGTGGTTTGAGTGC